GGAAAGTGGGTCAAGGCACAAATTCAGCAACACGTTCCAATTTCCAATAAGAGATTTTCTATTCAAGTTTTATAGTAACTATGGGTGTATCTCTACTAGTTTTAAAGATATACACTGTAAGAACTTGAATATTGTCAAAGTGCACTTTACTGTAAAAGGTGCATGTGGGACAAATGTAAAATTAATAGTCAGGGCTGTGTCAGCACAAAACCCAACCTTCATCCACAACTACATATAAAGGTAAATCTAGTGAATACATGTAAGTTTGAATTTAAGCCTTTTTTTTTGTACAAGAATTAGCAGCGGACTTCAGGCCCATGGCAGTTCAACGTCAATGTGTGAAAAAAAAAAACATACAAAAAAGTACAAATCTTCAAAAATGGACATCCCATATAAGTTTATAGGTCCATACAGTTTTTGAAAATCATAACAAACTAATGCTTTCCAAAATTTTATCCCATCTGACCTTGATGCATATAGTAGGGGTCAAGACCTGAGGCTAGATTTGAAATCTTCACGACTTTATCTCAAACGCCTGTAGTAACCTTTTCTGAATATCCATCTGTGCATATATACCCAGAAAGTGATTTGTATTCGCCGACATGCGGCGGACACGGCAGACAAGACAAGGCCGGAGTTAAACTCACGCTGGTCTCACAATGAATTCATTTTGTTACTTTATAATGGCTACTGTCCACAACTTCTGTAGCGTCAGTCTTCACTTATGAATTTATCTCAGACGTCTGTAGCAACCTTCAGTTAAGAGCTTAAAGAATTTATCTCGATTAAATTAAGGACCCTGGGATTTATCAATTCGTGACGTCCACAAGTTCTGTAGCGTCAGTTTGACTGCTCGTATTGACTGGAGATAAGACTTACTCGCCGCCTTGAAAGGGAAAAGTCCCTGTCTTAGGTCTCAAATCTTGGCAACAATGGCACAGAGAATGCTGTTCACATAAAACGTAATTATTTTAGGACAGTTGGATTTTGTATATCGATATAGATCAGTCTTTTCATTTCTAAATGTGTTTCTCTGCGAAATATAATCAACCTCATCGACGGTTTAAATTGTGGACTTTGCCTCATGTTGGATTCATCATTCCTTAATCCAATCTATTTGTATCTTCTTCCTTGATCCAATTTAAGTTGCCTCTGTTTAAAAATTTCCTGTGTCATCACTTTCGAAATGTCAGCTCACTTGTCCAGACGCGTCTTTCTTTTAGTAGTTTTACTTTATGTCATACTGCAAGGAAAATGCGAAACGAGAAAATCGTACACTGCTGCTGTGTATGAGCACGCGGTGTTCTCACTACCGCCTTCTGAGATCATGCAAGAATAAGTCGGTTGCTCTCTCCGTTATGAAACAGAACCTTGAAGCTTTTGAAATAGCAACAACAGAGGCAAAGAAAATGGTAAGCAGTGAGTAGGATTCTTGAGTCTAAAGGATTTTCAAAGGATTGTTCACCGCAAAATTCATTACAGTTACAATTTATACTCCTATTCGGCTGTTTCACAATAAGGGTGAACAATTAAATGTGGTTAATGTTACAAGTGTCTGATAAATTAACAATTTATGATTGGAGATTGCTGACAGACTAATATGAAAGACACTGTTCATAGAAGCAAAATAAAAAAGAATTATAATAATCGGATTACAATTTACAAAAATATAGCCAATTATGTGTTCAAAAAGTACCTATTTTTAGCTGTTACGGTGGGTCATTTGCAATTAAAGTCATAAAGATGATGCACTAGCTCTCTATGCCAGTGATTTATGGTGAATATGATTTTGGTATATAATTCCCACAACATCTGTCTTCTCTTCTAGCAGGTTCTTCCAAAGATATGTTCTGAGAAAAAAATATATTGTAACCATTTTGCAGAAACGGGCTTTGATACACATTTCACTTATTTTTGTTAATGCAATGAAAAACATATTTGATAAGGCCAAATATTACTTTGAAATCACCTACATGATAATAAGATGAATTTACCATGTTATGACTTAAACATAATAAAGGAGTTGTGCATATGTAACCATTATTATTAATGCTATGGTATTTATAATCATGAGCCCCTTGGTGTCTCCCAATTTTTGTAGTGTCCGTACCCCCTATCTGTTTTATTTGGGAATCACAGCATATTCTGTCTGATTTTATTATTCTATTTTGCAGGAAGAAAATAGCACATAACCCCTAATTATGAAAAGATATGCAAGAATTTGGTGCCAAATGTAGTGTCCGTACCCCACTGTAGTGTCCGTACCCCCAAGTTATACATTAACCATTGGATAACTGGCTACTTATCAATGATGATAAAACATCAAAATATGGTACAAAATATTGTTTTAGACTATATAAAATGCATTCATGTCTTGTGATGTTTAGAAAAAACATTGTATATAAATATATATTCGATAAAGTGATACTGATTAATTAGAGTCAGGCAAGAGCTTTTGCAAAGAAATAATATCAGTAAAGATGCTACTCTTTGCATTCAAAATGAACAATATTGGTTTGAATATATTGCCAAATAAAGCTAATTGCAAAATAATAAACTGTATATGGATTAATATTCTACAGATTAATGTATCAAATATGGATGACAATAAACAAAAAGCCAAATAGGAAAAGAAAAAGGGATCCTGAAAATTTTACTTTCAGCAAAAAATAATTTGAAAAAAAAAGACGTCAAAGAGCTAATATCCGTAAAGATAATCTTGCTGAAGCACGTAAGGAAGACGTTATACGTTGAATGCACGTAACATAGAAGAGAAGCAAAAAAATGAAGAATCATCCTAGTTTGGCCCAGCAAGAAAGACTAAAATAAAGAGAAGAAATTAGGGCATACTGACGGAGAGTTAAGGAGAAGCAGAAACCCAACAATCCTGAAAACAGTAGAACAAGAGGTGCAAATTAACGAGAGATGAAAAAGAAGAAAAGACTCCAAAAACAGGAATCAAGACTGAAACAAACAAAAAAAATGAATAAATAAAAAAAGGTCAAGCAACAGAAAGAAAAGTTAAAATTAAAGTCTGGTGAATGAAAGTCAAACTGAATAACACACAACCAAGCTCCAGCATCCACTGAAAAACGTGCTGTGATGTTTCTCTAAAAAAATCTCTTTGATTAATACATGTACTTGTATCCTTTTGGTTAAAGTACTGCTGTTATATCTTTAGTTTGATATTTTTTAGAATTTTGGCAAAAATAACTGGTAAACAATATGATATTTCAGTTACAAAAGCATTAGTTACTTGAATGTGTAGTGTCCGTACCCCCAGATCATAGTCTAAGGGGCGTTCTGTTAATTTGAGCGTAGCACAAAAAGTAATTTATGTTGTGCTCTAAAATTGTAGATATTATAGTTAAGATGTTATTCTTTTTATCTGTTACAAAATTAAACAAATGCATCAGAGTTCATTTTTCTTTCAATGTGACCCCTATTTTGTACCCCTGATTGTGAAACAGCCGATTGCACAATGACTACGAATTTTACGAATTGCCAGGATCTTACTTAAATCGTGATAAATTTTTTAAAGCTCTTAACTGATTCTGATTCATTCGTGATGAATTCTTTTTGCAATTCTTGAGAGATCGTAATATCGGGACAAAATTTTTGGGCTGTTCAAAGTTTTGGTCCCGAACTCACAAATGCAAAAAAGAAAAAAAATGGTTAATTCTTTACAAACCCGTGGTACATTCTTAGATACTGTAACTGACTCCTTGTACATTTTTAGCCATTCCTATGTATTCTTACCTTTATCAGGGAATCGTGACGCAATCGTCTGACCACAATAGAATACGATTCTGTAAAGCAGAGTGAGAGGCTTTTTTTACCTGTCCTGAAGGCAGATTCCTCGAAATTTCAAGAATAGTTAAGATTATATTTATAGTCATGCCAGAATCGTAGGTGCATTTGGTAGATACTTAGCTTTCTCTTAACTGAATCTTAATATTCGTTAACTTAAAAGTATTCCTAAGTCATTCTTGCAGATAGTAACTGTTTCCTGACAACATTTTCACTGCTCAAGCAAAATCCAATGAATATTCTTAAGTGTATCTTAACAAATTTGTCACTAAATCCTACAGGATCAGGATTTCTACCAGAAATGTGCGAAATTCCACGATTCCTCATGATTTCAAAAGTTTAACAATTCTTGGCGGTTCGTAGAAATCGTAGTTGCTGTGTTACGAAAACGTTAAACAACTGTTTAACAATTGCAATCAATTCTGAGTTATGTGTCAGAGATGCAATAAACTAGCACCTTGCGCACATTTTGCCAGACAAAACGCGCTAGAAGATGAAATTCTGGCTACTGCGGGAAACCGTAAGTTTACAAAGGGATAAAACACGGTGGAGACCAAAGTACGTATTGTATACATAAGATCGTCAAGCACAGAATATATATATATATATATATAATGCTTCCAAAATGTCATCCCATCTGACCTTGACGTACATATAGAGTAAAGGTCAAGGCCTGAGGCTAAATTTGAAATCTTAACGTATGACTTTATCTCAGACGTCTGTAGTAACCTTCAGCTAAGAGCTTAAAGAATTTATCACGATTAAAATAAGAACCCTGGGATTTTTCAATTTGTCACGTCCACAATTTCTGTAGCGTCAGTTTGACTGCTCGTATTGATTGGAGATAAGACTTACTCGCCGCCTTGAGAGGGAAAAGTCCCTGTCTTAGGTCTCAAATCTTGGCACAATGGCATAAAAAAAAATGCAGGTAACATAAAACGTAATTATTTAAGGACATTTGGATTTTATACATCGATATAGATCAGACTCAAATATCCGTAACAGATGTTTTTCATTTCTAAACGTTTTTCCTTGGGGAATATTATCATCCACATCGACAATTTGAATTGTGGACTCTGACCCATGAATAATCGTCCTTAAATCCAGTCCAACGGTATCTACTCCCTTGATCCAATTTTAGTTGCATCAGTTGCATCTGTTGCAAAATTTCCCGTGTCTTCATTTTCAAAATGGCAGCTCACTTGTCCAGACGCGTCTTCCTTTTTGTTTTACTTTATGTCATACTGCAAGGAAAATGCGAAACGAGAAAATCGTACACTGCTGCTGTGTATGAGCACGCGGTGTTCTCACTACCGCCTTCTGAGATCAAGAATAAGTCGGTTGCTCTCTCCGTTATGAAACAGAACCTTGAAGTTTTTGAAAAAGCAACGGCAGAGGCAAGGAAAATGGTAAGCAGTTAGTAAGAATGCCAAATCTCAGGATTTACATTGTTTACCGTCAATCTCATTATAGATACGCGAATGTTAAACACTTAATTGTAATCAATTTTGAATTATGTGTCAATGAAAAAATGATGCATTCCAGCACCTTGTGCACACTTTTACCATAACAAACGATCAAAAAGATAAGATACTGGCCACTGCGAGAAAGTGTAAGTTAAGAAAGGGATAAAACATGATGAAGACCAAAGCACATATTGTATTCATATGATCGTCTAGTAATGGTACAGAAAAGGTGAAATATTATCAAAGTAAACAGAGCGGAAAATTAGTATCATTTTGCATAAATATGTATGCAAAATACTGCATAACGGAGGCTTTCAAAATTAAAAAATCTGTGTATAGATACATCTACACCTGCATCACAGTTACATGTAACGCTTCTGTGCACGCACTTCACATAACCACTCGTCCCTGACATACACCAAACGCGACTTCCTCCTACATATTCTAAGTCCTGTTTGAACTTTGCTTAATTTGGTTATCGCACGTCCCTTGGCAAAAAATAAACGTGTCAGAAGTCGTTAAAAGGAATATCACAGCCATGGCAGAAGGATTGGTGTCTAGAACCATACAAAAGTGTCAGGAATCATGGTCTTAGGACCTTGCAAAAACAGGGCACCTCTGTCTGTCCACCATCCTGTATACTAGAATTTATCTCTTTATCGAGACAAAACATTGGCCGAAACTGAAATAAGACACTACTGACCAAAGATGGTTCAGTGCGTGAAAATGCCAAAGAGTTTTATAAATGTAATTTAACTGTGAGAGGATAAAATTCAGCGAGGGCATACGGTTGTATGCTCCAAGTATAACTTAGTAAAAAGTCCCATCCGGACCTTGATTCCGATGGGACTTGCCTTCCTTGGTAACTGTTATCCCAAAAACATTAAATCCTAGTAATGTATGTCCATAACTTCAAGCAAAATAATATAATCAGGATCGTTTTCGAACAGCATTTTAGTAATAATGGCCTCTTGTGTAAGTTTAAAAAACGTCATATGCATCGCATATAAAGTTATATGCTAGTGAAACAAACAAAAAAAGCATAATGTCATGAATAAACGCAGATCTGCTGCAGGCTGGTGATCGAACTTATTTTATAAAAATTTATCACTTGTGCAAGTTTAAAGACAGTAGGCCCATTTGTTTTCCTCAAATTGTGTTATTTGCATGTTGTATAATATATGCTAAAACAAAAAGCATAACGTAAAGAAAAATAATCAGATCATATTGCTTTTCGAAATTAATCTGTATATTAGTGACTTTGGTCACTGAATTAAGTTCGAAGGGGAGGAATGTGTCAGGGACCACAGTATTGAAAAATGGTAATTAATATTTTTACATGCTTCATACTTGGCGTGGTATTAATTCAATTAGTGGAAGTCTTTATCTGATAGAATTCACACCTGGGAAGCTAAGATGTGTTAGTAGCTTAAGATAATATTTCACGCCTAGCAGTAAAAAAATTAATGTCCTTGGTTTCAAGTTAGCAATCCGTTAGATCTTGATTACATGGAGTTGTTGGGGGGGGGTGTTTGGATTAACCAATCATTTTATGATTTATTTGATTAAAAATAAATAAAATTGATAAAGTTAAGCATAAAAATCTGCGAACTTAAATCTTAAAAGAGACTAGGGTAGAGAAGCTTGGAATGGGCCATGCTTGTACCATGCAACTTTTAGTTTAGAAAATATATTATGTTGAAGTTACAACATGGAGTCGTTTCATTCTTTTCTGTGTTCAGAGTTTAACACAGAACCTGGGGATCACAAGAGCAGTTTACAGATCGCGTTATCCAAATATAAGAACCCATAGTGCCCAACTCCTAGGGGTTTATATCATGAATGAGTTATTTAATATAGTGGGATATGGGTTATCATAAAGAGAACCCTCACAAGGTACGTGTCATCTGTGTTGCATATAGAAAAATATACACTGCAATAAACAGCACAACCCACTGGTTTCTGTATTGCATATGGTGTAATCTATGCTGAAAAAAAGATAACTTTCGGAAAATTGATCTAACCAGGCTGGCATGTATTTAGAAATAATAATTATCCCTGTAAATCATAATAATGATTGATGATCCCTGTATTTTGAAGACAGAATGCAAATTGATGTTCCTCACAATGCGTTAACTGTATTGCATTTTGTATAATTAATATATGCAGAAAACACAAATAATAGCATTACTTCATGAAAATTAATCAGATCAAATTGGTTTTCAAATTTGACCTTTTAGAAATGTTGATTACTTCTATAAGTTTGAAAACAACATTAATCGGATTTCTTCAAAATATGTTTTCTATATTGCATATAATATGATATTCTGGTAAAAGAAAACTAAGAAAAACAGCATTACCCCAAGAAATATAATCGGATCAGGCTGTTTTCAAACTTGATCTGAATTTTAGTATTATTGAACACTTACACAGTTTTAGAGACAGTAGGCCCATTGATCTGTTTTCTGTATTGTTAATAATATACTTTATGCTAAAAAAAAACAACATAACTCCATAAAATTAATTAGATAAGAAATTTGATAAGTATTTAGGCAATATTGATCACTGATTTACGCTTGAATGTGTTATCTGTATTGCATACAATGCGTCAGATGATGGTGAAAAAAACCAAAAAGAAAACAATAAATTGAAGAAAAAATCAGATCAGGTAGGTTTTTGAACTTGGCCTGTATTTATGTGACATTTATCGCTCCTGTAAGTTTGAAGACAGTAGGCACATTGACTTCCTCAAAATGTGCTATGTGAATTGTAAATATACTAAAAAAAATCTTTAAAACAATAATCAGATTTTCTAATTTTCTAAGTATTTTAGTGGTTTTGATCACTGATGTAAGTTTGAAAGTGTTATTTGCATTGTATATAAGATAATATATGCTTGTACATGTACGTACCTCCCCCCTCCCCAAAAAAGAAGAAAAACAACATAACTTCAAGAAAATCAGATCAGGCTGGTTTTCGAACTTGACCTGTAGTGTACAGGTAGTAACATTTATACTCCTGTAAAGCCCCCGTCACACTTATTCGGAATCAGCAGGAATCAAGCAGAACGAGCCGGAATGACTAAATTTAAAAATTCATACTACATTCCAGAAGAAATTTCAAATTGACCTAAATTCTTGTAAGAATGCCGTTGGAATACTCAGAATGTGCTTGAATCCGCCTGGAATGATTCGTGCACGTTTCGGCTGTATTAGCTCTCAAATGCCGCTCAAATGTAGTTGGAAAACTAGGAATATCAAAAATGCTGTCAGAATGCAGTCAGAATATTTAGAATACACTTCGAATGCCATACGAGTGTAGTTCGATTGCTGGCTGAAATAGGACCGAGATGCATTCGAGTTGCATTCCGGCTCGTTCTAGCAGGATTTGAAGTGTCTTCCCAGCGGGCAAATTATGTTGTTTTAACGTTGAAACAACGTTGAACCATAACGTTGATAAGACGTTGGATAAACGTTGGATTTGAAAGTTGGATCAACGTCAGATAACAACGTTGTATAAACGTCAGATAACAGCATTGTATCAACCCCAGTTGTTAGACAACATTCTTGCATGAAATGACATTAAAATGACCTGAAATGTTTTTATTTTTGGTACAAAACACAGGTACACAATAATAACGTACACTGTAAAAACATCCAAGTGCCTGAATTTAGCTCCTAAGTATGGTACACCCTTTTAGCCTGGATGTGTTTAGCAGTGGGACATGTTTGATGGCTAAATGTATGTCGGGTATATATGTTTGGCCTTTAAGTTAGGATTTCCGAGCAAAACATTCGGGCCGACCGCAAGAATGGGTAAAAATATTTGGAATGCACTCGGAATCTTTAAAATGCTCTTCGAATATCCAGGAACGAACAAAGAATTGTCTTTCCGACGGCATTCTCGCTCATTCCGCCTCTAGTGTGACGGGGCTATAGGACTGAAGACAGTATGCACATTGATTTCCCTCAAATGTTTTATTTCAATTGCAAATAAAATATATGCTGAAAAAAGCATACTATCAAGGAAGAATAACAGATCAGGAAAGTTTTCGATATGATTCTGTATTTTAGTAAAATTGATCACTCTTGTAAGTTTGAATACAGTACAGTTGACCTATCAGCTTTTTTATGACAGGTGTTACCTGGATTGCATATTATATAATGTAGGCTGATAAATAAACAGAACAGCATAACTACAAGAAAAATATCCAGTGTGTTATTAATGTAGAATATTTCTGTTACTTTGAAGATGGTATGCCTAGTGATATTTCTCCAAATGCATTTCATATTGTATAATATATGCTGAAAAACAACGAAAAAACAGCATAATTTTCAGAAACATAATCAGATCAGGCTGGTTTTCGAACTTGACCTGCATTTTAGTATTTTAATTTTGTAAGTTTGATGTGTCAGCTGTATCGCATGAAGTATGCTATATGCAAGTGAAAAAACAGCATAATTTTAAGTTCTAACTTCACCCGTATTTTAGTAACATTTATTTCTCCTGTTAGTTTTAAGACAGTAAGCCCATTGATTTTCCTCAAAATGTGTTATTTGTCCTGCATATATACAAATTATGCTGAAAACTACAGCTTGACTTCAAGAAAAATTATCAAATCAGACTACATTTTGAACTTGGCATGCATTTTAGTGATATTCATTACTCCTGTAAATAATCAGATTGGACTGCCTTTCGACCTTGACCTGTATTTTAGAAACGACCATTCTTGTTAGTTTGAATGAGTAGGGTAATCAGATTTCCTCAAAATTTGGAATCTGTATTGCATAAACATGTAATATGCATGTGCTGGTAAAAAACAAAGAAACAGCATAATCTTAAGAAAAAATATCAGATCAAGCTGGTTTTCGAACTTGATCTGTAATTAAGTAATATTGAAAACTCCTGTAAGTTTAAAAGCAAAAGCGTATTGATTTTCCCGAAAAGGTGTAATAAATGCTAAATGTAATAAAATAAATTGAAGACATATGCCTATTGGTTTTCCTTTAAAGCTGTTTTCGGTATTGCATATGGTGTGATATATACTAAAAATGCAAAAAAAAAATGATAATGTCGAGAAAAATAATCAGATCAGGCTTGCTTGACCTCATTTGTAGTAATATTTTTTACTGTTGTAAGTTTGAAGACCATCATCCTGGTTTATGTACTCAGTCTGTTTATAAGAAACACCGATCACTCCTGTAAGTTTAAAAACAGTAGACCTATCGGTTTTCTTGAAAATGTGTTATCTGTATTACATAAAGTATGATATTTGCTGAATAATAAACAGAATAACTTCACGAAAAATAATCCGATCAGTTGATTTTCGAACTGGATCTCTATTTTAGTTATATCAATACTTCCGTAAGTTTGAAGACAGAATGCCCTTTGATTTTCCTCAAAATGTTTTGCAATTTGTATAATATTTGCTGATAAAAACAAAAAAAACAGAACTTAAAGAAAAATTATCCTGTCTGGCTGGATTTAGAACTTGATCAACATTTTAGTAATATCGCTTATTCCATTAAAAGCACAATAGACTTATCAGTTTTCCTTGAAATGTTTTATCTGTATTGCATATCGAATGATATTTGCTGTAAAAACCATAAAGCAGATAACGCCAATATAAAATAATCCTATCAGGCTAGTTTTCGAATTTGAACTGTGCCTTAGTAACATTGACCACATTCGTAAGTTTCAAATAATACTGGTAGCCCTATCGGTTTTCCTTGAAATGTGTTATTTGTTTTGCATATAGTAAAATATATGCTAAAAAAAGCCTAACTTCATAAAAATTTATCTGAACAGGCTGGTTTTTGAACTTGACCTGTATTTTAGTAATATTGGCCACTCCCGGAATTTTGAAGTCCATAAGCTTATCGGTTTTTACTGAAAGATGTTACCTTTATTTCATACAGTGTTAAATATACTGAAAAAGAGCAACAAAAAACAGCATAACGTAAAGAATAAAAATCAGATCAAGTTGATTTTCGAACTTGACCAGTATTTAAGAAACATTGATCGCTCCTGTAAGTTTGAAGACAATATACCTAACGGCTTCCTTGAAAGATGTTATCTTTTTTTTTTTTTTTTTTTTTTTTTTTTTTTTTTTTTTTTTTTCAAATTGCATAGTATACAGTATCAGACTGATTTTCGAGCTTTACCTGCATCTTGCAGCACTGGTCACTCCTATACGTTCGAAGACAATAGACTTATTGTTTTGTCTTGAAAGGCGTTTCCTTAACAGGTTTTTACACTCAATGTGTTATCTGTATGTCATATGATGAAAAAAAACGAAAAAAACAGCATATCTTCCTGAAAACGGGATGTGTCCGCTCATTAAAAGTGACTATAGAAATGTGAGCAAAAGTCATGTGTTAATATTTCATCCATACATGTATCTGTTTAATTCATCGGTTCACTTAATTTTAAACCAATGTCTTTATTTAACAGGGCGCTGAAATCATAGTGTTCCCCGAGGATGGGTTATACGGCTTCGAATTCACTCGCGAAATATTCCAGTACTTCACTGAGGACATCCCTGACCCTCAGACCCAACCAGATTGGAACCCATGTAAAAAGTACCCCGAGTCAGCAAACAGCCCAGTGCAATATTGGCTCAGCTGTATGGCACTGAACAATAGCATATACATTGTTGCCAATGTCGGTGACGTGAAGTACTGTAACCTTAAGTCAGACAAATTGTGCCCGGCTGATGGACGCTACCAATACAACACGAACGTAGTGTACGATCCAGAAGGCAAATTGGTTGCAAGATACCATAAGCAAAACCTGTTCATGACTGAAAAACTCAATTACAACCAGCCTCATCAATGTGAATACGCCACGTTCACCACACCCTTTGGCAAATTCGGTACTTTCACTTGTTTCGATGTTCTTTTCCGCGAGCCACCAATCTCCCTGGTAGAGAACTTTGGCGTGGACAATGTGGTTTTCCCTACGGCTTGGATGGATGTTCTTCCATTATTTGCTTCTGTTGAATTCCACCAGGCATGGGCGATGGGTATGGGAGTGAACTTCCTCACAGCTAACTTACACAAAACCAGTTTTCATATGTATGGGAGTGGAATATTCACCCCACAAGGAGCCGTTGTCTACACACATAACACAACCACCGAACAAGGGAGACTTTTGGTGGCCCAGGTTCCAATACTGAGAAATGCGCCTACAAAAACTGCTCCATATTCAAATAGGCCGTTGCCAACTGAAAAAGATGGCCAAACTACCATCAGATTTCAAGCAGAGCTCTTCGCGGACTCATTTGATTTTGTCACACTTTCTCGGCCAAATGACAGCTTAACAATTTGCCAAAAGGCCGTCTGCTGCCACTTGAATTACAGTTTCGATGAATCGCCAGCTGACAGCTTATATGCTCTTGGCGCTTTTGACGGCCTGCACACCCATGAAGGACACTATTACCTACAGATATGCACGCTGCTCTCCTGTGCCAATTCATCCACCAGTTCCTGCGGCCAACCAACTACCAATGCAAAGTCGCGTTTTGGCAATTTGTCACTTGGTGGCGTTTTCAACACAAAATATATTTTCCCGGAATTCTTGACAACCGATGGATCAAGTCTTGATCTTGCTAATGGACAATGGGTTTTTGAGGATGGTAAAGTCAAAGTCAATAATACGATCGAAAAGCCCCTTCTCTCCGCAACGCTCTTTGGGAGATGGTATCAAAGAGATACCTAGGCCTACTTGTGCTTCAGCACTAGTACTAAAGGCGGTGCTTCTTAACCTTGTCTTTTCTTGCTGAAAACTTTTTTGTCTACTTGTCGACAATGATGACAACATTAATCAAGTATGTAGTTAAAGATACCCGGGGCTATCTGTGTAGTTACAACAGGACAAAAGTTTATGGTGAGCGAGTAGTTTGAGCGTTTGCTTTATATCTTAGATTTTCAAAATATCCAATTTACAGTTCAGTATACCTGTAGGAGTGAAGTACTCCATACGAATTATATTATATTTAACACGCCACAAATTTTGATGAATTCCGTGTGTTGCTTATTTTAAAGCTTTTATTGCTGGAAATTGCTTTTTTGAAATTATTCCGGTACTAGTACATTTTAGCAATGATTATGACTTAATTATAAGTAATGTACCAAAAATACAAGAACGGTTTACAAACAGATAAAAATAAGAAATATCGTTTTTAAACATAACGTCATTACTTTATAACTACGTGCTTTAGTTAATTAGGTGGTGGTTGGTTCAGAATATTCTTTCTCTTATTGTTGCATATCGTTATAAAATGGGCTAAATTCTTTATTGTTTTCATGTTATGTGATCGCATTTAATTTTCAACTATTACGGAGCATAGTTTACAAATTCTTTGTTCATGGGGTCTGGCTGTAGTTTTTAGTATCTGCCTCTTTGGATCTCATGAGTTCATATTCTAAATTTTGGTTGCTTTTGTTAGTTGCATTTTGGTCGTCACGCTGTTATGTATCCTACCATTTTATAGATTGTTTTGAATAATTGTGCCGAGAACGCTATTTCCTCTCTCGATTTCTTTGAAAAACAATAAATAATGGCTTGTAAATGCATCCTTAATGTCTGTTTACATTCGTATATAACCTAGAGTTGGCATTTAATTTAGAGTTGTGTATTTAATTATTTTGAACAAGTTATCATTTCTTTGTTTCTTCACTTTATTTTATATACTATTTTTGCCCGGCGTTGAACGGAATAAACATGATTTACCCCCCAAAAAACTATAAAATTGATTATTCAAGGCCTATCTAGATATTTAGCAGATTGAACACTCCTTGATCGTGTTGGGGTGTACCAGGTCATGTGATAACCGATAACCAATTGTCCACACGCACATGTATCTGGTTTCTTTCTCTGTCACCACTGGTACATAACCAGTTAACAAAAGAATGTTTTACTGGTAAAACATTGAGGAAACGTTAGGGTTCACCCAAGCCCAATATAGAGGTGCAAATGATGCCACAGGCATAATCTTAGAAATATTCAGTGCATAGACTGGAAAGTATGTTTGATTATTAAGGGTCAGACATGAAGTTCATATCATCTTTCACAGTCCTGGAACCACGGATAATAATAATAATTCATCACCTAACCCCAAAAGGAACATACGTTATTGTCGCAAATTGAAAACGTTCAGCTCCGAAAGTGTTTTACTCACTTTGAAAGTTCGATCAGCAGTTTTACTTTTTAAAATTTATTTTCTACATGATAATTTTCTTAATACAGCCATAAATTATTTTTTGCACGATTATAATTTGTTTGTCACTGCATTAAAAAATGCAGCATGCTAACAGCAAAAGATGCATTTAATGAACTATTTTTATTCGTGAACAAAAATTTTGTCAGAAATGTCAAACTTAATTTAATATGGAAACACTATATACGTTTCAGATGTCACGGGGGTTTTAATTGTGGATTTCTTCCCTTTTATTTATGACGCGTTATCGTCCTTCGGGATCCGTGACACGGGGGTATATGCGATAGGAAAAGAACAACAAAGTCCTGATCTTTCTTTAATCCAGGCGAGCGGGTTTTATTGGATCATGGATGAGAGGTACAACTGAGTACGCCTTCTGAATTAAACTTTCGTTCCCTGTCGATCGGTTCTGCTCAGATAGTACAGGTACTTCTTATGCGACAATAGTTCTTCTAAAGGAACAATCTAACGAATAAGTGAACGAGTGAATAAGTGTCGAAGTGTCTAAGTGCAAGTGTCCAGCCTCGCGGGCCTCGCTTTTATCTTCCTAGAATGCGAATCAAGTTTCCATTTTACACGTCACATTTTGTTACGTATACTATGGTCACAATTTTCCTTTAAAGGGTGGCACACTGTATTATCCGAGCAGATCATTTCTATTTATTCTCTATTTATTCTCCGATCTCCCTTATGTTTTGATACATTCTTTAAGCATACTTTCCTCTTTCTATATTCTTAATTCAGAACTAAGTAAGTAACAATTACTACGTGAAACTGGAACGCTTTGGTATCCTTCAATGGTCACTAATTACATTCCATAGATACATTAGTCTGCTCGGAGATACATGAAACCATTATGACACAGTCGAAAAAAGTTTATTTTCGTCCTAGCACTTGGTGAAATAGGTAATAGGGTTTTCTGTTATCGACTGTGTCATAATGGTTTTATTTATGCGTAATGATTTAAAGAATTAGTTTTAAAGAAAATCAATATATACTCCAAGCATGAGTGCGATATCTTCAATCTTATTGATTTAGGTGGTATAAAAATAGTTCAAACGAGATACAGACTAATGTAAGGATATAAGGTTACTCTGCATTTTATCTTTTTCAATTTATGCTGTGAAATATCACCCAACTAGCCTTTTGATGTCGCGAATCAACCAAATGCACGTTAATTGGGTTGCTAAACTGCAAGTTATTAACCCCTTCCCCCGAACGTCAAACTGGCAGGTTTGCAAATGAAGACTATACCGCAGAAAAAGTTTGGGGCCCAAAAGAGAGCCAGCTTAGGACACGTTTGGGGAACACGTTTGTACACGTCATGATGGACATTTACAGGTGTAGGACCAGAACAGAGCTTCTTGTAAACAGTTTAGAACCAAAGGACCGAATTTGATTTGAGGACCAAAAGAGAGGCTTAACACACGTATACTGCACGTAATTCCCTTTCCGTACGTCGTCTGAGCGGAGGTACATGTAGCTAGACAGTGGTCGCGCGATATCGCACGGAATCGTACGGATTTAAGGCCTCCGCAGTCTCTACGATTTTGTCAAGCTGTAACTGTAAAAGGAAATTTGCACCTTATGTACGCGCTTATCCCCATGTTATTTCTTATGCTTTTATTTACCTGTCTTTCTAATTTCGCCTTTGATGGTTTTAGGAAGCGTTATAATAGCAAAAAGTCTTAAATTTCTTCTTTTTTTTTTTTTTTTTTTTTGAGCTTGAAGATGTGCATCTCCTTGATGGCACGGCGACCGTATGCAATGTAGAAATACTCGGCGTAGCCCAAAGGCCCTTGCGATGTCAAAAAATGATACGGAAAATCGTATACGATTTCTTCGTACGGCGCCCATGGCATATGTACCGGGTAATCTAGGCTTAAGTGACAGTTTAAATATTTATAAAGACGCCCTTATGTCAGCTATAATTTACCATGATTGAATCACTACAACATATTTGGAATATGATACAAAAAGTTATATATATATATATATATATATATATATATATATATATATATATATATGACCTGGGACATACTTTACCGGAACACACGTTAGCTGATGGTGTAACCGATAATAACCCTGTGGTAACGTTATTAAAACCCCTTTGTAAGCTGGGTAGGCTATAGCATTCGTTATTATGTCAGCTCTCTTTTGTTGTCGGTTTTTGTCATTCCAGTAAATGTATACTCAACATATAACATATTGCCAATGTTTTATGCTTTTGTATGGAGCTGCAATGTAAATCGTATGTATATTTAATATACATTCCTTTTGTAAGCGAGACAAAAACACTGTTCCTAATGGAAGATAGAAACCTTATAAACCAAGATATAAACGGAAGCACTCTAATTTAAGTGACACGACTCCTTAAGTATAATGCTTATCAAGGCAGGTCCCATATCACTCATCATTCCATCGTCCATCATGAAGTTTTTGACTGTCGTTACTCTTCTCCTGGCCTTAGTGTTTCTTGCGTGGGTATAGTATGTATGCCGGAGATGTGCAAAGATGTGAAGCCTCTGGATTCCACACAATGTAAGGGTGGGGTGATCACAAGAGGTGATAGGCCTACTGCAGCTGTAAAGAAACCTGTGCTAAGGTAAGTGTTGCGAACAGAGAGCATCCTTGTGCACACCATGTTTAGTAGTCATTGACCCACTCTAGTAAACTAGCGTATATACTGGCGGAAAATCATTAATAGCAAACTTGTATGTAGAATGAGACTTTCCATTACCCAAAATAATACCTGTCATCAAACGAACCGGTTCATGTTCATTAAAATTAGGATGTAAGGAGGAGCAGGCAACGAAAAGAGGTTGCATTTCGAATTATGGAACATGGATCTTTAAAGTATTATTTACTTATACAATATTTAAGTTTTACATTGTTGCATCAGGTTGGAAGTGAGAGTTCACAGGCGCAAAACAGTTTCCTTGGCTGTGACAACCGACTTGAGCGTGTTCATCAGACAAATGTCGTGGATGGTGTTGGGAAGCGCACAATGCTGCTTTTGAACAAGCGCGAGGAATGTAAAGACAAAGTACATATGTGATACATTCTTGTTATATTTTGAATCTATTCTAACATCTGGCGAAATGACCCAAGTTTATGTCGTTTTAAGACATTAAAATGTAAAAATAGGAGAAAGTACCGTGGCGTTTGTGTACATTTTAAAGGTATTCAAATATTCATAATCTCCAAATATTCATAATTTCCAAAATATTTATTATATAATACTGGATTTAATGCAAAAAAAATGTTAGTTCAAGATAAAACTACTCTCTTTTATTATCAAATTTCAAAAGAGCTGAAAAAATGTAAGTAAGAGTACAATATTCGTCAGATATCCACAGTGATATGGCAAAAAATAGTAATTTCAAAATGTGACAAGTACGGATTTTATGAAAAAGAGCACTGCAATAATCTCAGTAAAGAAAAACCATGAAAAGTCAATTCGTTGATGCTCTGGTTTATTCCATCTTGGTCTGTTCTATAGGCCGCAGCCGTGTCACCATGCATACAAACAGTCACCAGTCCTTAGGTAATTAAGTCATATACACGTACAATGTAGTTCAAAGAAACCCTCAGTTTCAGAGCCCATAGCCGAGCTATGTTGAATTCTTTATCGCCATATACACAGAAAAAAGTTACCCATCACCAGTCAGTTGGTGCTCAAGTTGGCGCCATCTGCTTGGAAGATAGGCCTATCATATCCTTACTTTCTTCATCAGGCGTTGTCGTGCGGAATTTATCCGCTAATATAAGCCAGGATATCCCACAACGACCTTAAGCTCGGGGCTCTTCAAATTTAAAATATGCTTTTTAAATCGTAAATTAAAATTTCACCAAAGCTCCTGCACTAGTCATTTTCTCCTCGTAAACACGGGCATTTAGACTTTTTCTTTTTAAGGTCCCCTTTCGACAAGGTAATGCCTTGCTCCCGTAGACGACGGAGGGGTTTTGGATTCTTATTGTATATTTCTGAAAAGACAAAGACGAAAATATACTACTACATAAATAAAACTTGCTAAATTACACTGCAAACTTCTATGGGTACATGTATGTTACTTTATACGCTTTTAACTGAACACTGACATGTGGAGAAACACAGTAAGAATATCCTGAATGCTATATTCTTATAACAAGTGTTGACGCATTATTTTATTATTATTTTTTATTATTCTTTGGGAAAATTTACTCTATATTTTGATACTTCATAAAAAACTTACCATTGATGAGGATTCGGAACACCGTATTCACATTCTGCTTGGTGGCCGCCGAGGTCTCGTGGAGGTACACGTGGTCAATACCATGCTTCTCTGCGGTAGCAAAAATATTCGGAAGCTGTTATTTGGTATGGTGTTAGGGGTCGTTTAAAATGAGTTAGGTCGACCTAGCTTGTACGACATAACTTCATGGGGACTCTCGCTGAATGCAATCAGATCAACAGACTGACACGCCTCCTCTTGTTCCCAAAGAATTAGTATAATCACCAGCTTCCTTGTGTTCTACTCAACACCACAAAGAGGCGTGTTAGTCTTTTAAACTGATTGCATTCAGCGAAGGTCCCGCGGAGTTAGGTCGCACTAGCTAAGTGGACAGAACTCAATCTGAACGGCCGCTTAGTGCGAAACGCGTATTTGGTAACTCAAACACGGTTTTTAGAAGGTAATTTGTCAACAATTTTGGCCTTACTTAAAGAAAAACTTTTGACATTTCCACATAAATTAACATGTTGCTATATAAAGGTCTATCGCTTATTGTATGCTTGAAACGTTCTACTATTTAATTCCTGCTTACCAGCAAAAACGTGGGCGTCGTGTGGCGTCACCTCCCGCCCGTAGCCCTCACGTTCCAGCAAGTCGCGTTTATTCCCCACCATCATCATAACAGTTCTGTTGTGTTGTTTGTTATATTGGCGGTACTCTCGGATCCAGAACGCCAGTTTGTCGAGGCTTTCCCGCCTTGTGACGTCGTACACAAATATAACACCGTCACAGTCACGATATATCCTGAAATAATTAAAGGACTACAATAAATGTTTTTGAATAAATAAACGAACAGAGTTGCGTATGCAAAAAAAATCTGTCTACTTAATTAAGCACCATTCTGTTGTTGAACAAAAAAGAATCTTCACTGTTATAACATTTTCAGTTCATTAAGATGACTCACGCCCTGGAGATGGGTGCATAAGTCTCCTGTCCGGCGGTGTCCCAAATCTGCACCCGCACGAAACTGTTGTCATCAATCTCCACGTCCTTAAAGGAGAACTCGGTGCCGATGGTCAGGGGCTGGGTCGTGCCTGGGAAACGCCCCTCAGTGTAAACTATTTGCAGGTTAGTTTTCCCTACTCCTGACTCTCCCAGTAGGATTACTGGAAGGAAAGAAAAAAGACATTGATTTTAATTTGTTTAAAAATTTAAAAACAGTGGAAGCACGGGTGTCACGGTTGCAGACCGAGGTCATTAGCAGGCGTCGGGAGAAAATTTTAATGCACTTTAAAGTCACCTTAATGGCTTGTTGTCGATATTTTTATCTTTAAAATAAGATTTGGTGGTTATTAATCAGTTTAACATAAAACTGAGAACAAAGCTAGATTTTTCGTTAAAGAACATTTCGGTGTGCCCCACCCGTCTTCGTTTTTCTTACATGAAACCATACTTCTTCCTCGTCTTTATCCTCAGCAAATCATTTTACATCAGCATAAAATCAAAACGAGTACTTTGCCTTATTTAAAATCAAAATTATCATTTATTCCCGCGAAGCAGAATATAATTTTAGGCCTTGGATAACAGTCTGAGTTTGAGTCACTCCACACCGGGTGTAGATTCACGTTTGTGAGGTATACATGTGTTTATGATAATCAAAAATGTATTCGTGACGTTTCATGAAGTCATTCTGGTTATTGGGCCGATAACAGAAAAAGAGGTCAGGTAAAAATCTATCATTGCATCGTCTGTTGACCTACCTGTCACCGTTTATCACCGTTATTACACCAGCTTTCAATATTGTTGACATTTGTTTATCAGTTCTAAGTACCGGTATATCTCCGTACTAACCAACTAATCGCTATGAAAATGACGCTTCTTGTTAAGATATATGTATGGACAAAAATACCTCTGAATTCGAGATTGTAACTTGTGTAAAACAGAAAAAGTCGATGAATTTCATTATATGTTTAATAGCTCTTTCTTTGAAGAAAGTAGAGATTTATCTATTCCAAGAAAAGCATATATCATGCCAAATGCAATTAAGTTATATGAATTATTTTCAACAAGAAAGAAAGAATTAATAATTTGTACAAATTGACATGTTGAATAAGGGGATCAAGCATTCGGGTTGACATGTATGTATATTTATGATCTCAAAACTGCATCACAGAATATGAAAAATGTAAAAAAAAAAAGGGAGTATGGACTATAGATGGGCACCGTGGCTTGTATGTTGTATGTTCGTATAAGTTTTTGTCTTTGGAAGTAGACCGTCAATTGTTATATGGAGTAATTTCACGTGAAAGCCGATAAAATCAGAAAAAAAGTTACGTTGAACAGAATTTTGTGACATTTTTTGGTTGTGCTTTCATCCAGCTTTATCTATTGGCGTTTAGATAATTGGGATAACTGTCATGACACCAGAGAAAACCTCCAAACATTAAAATGTAGGTCACTGCACTTAAATTCAAAATAAGTTATATTCAATTGGACTTTTGGGAAGTATATTCAATTTTCTTTAATAGAAAATAATAACTATGACAAAAGAATATGATTTTATTAACATCCCCCACCCCACCCTGAATGTGATGCTTAATCCCAACCTATAAATCTTATGGAGGGCAGGCTCTCAGTTTCTTGACACGGTACCAGTAATAGTAGAACGTTGACCTGATAACATTACATAGAAAAAAATCAAACAATACAACAAAGAGTGCGCGTATGGCTAGCATGCGTATGGTTTGCACGAAGAGGGAGGTGACGACAGTACGCATTTAAGCAGTACCAAGGTTTTTTTAAGCTTTCTATTTTTTCCTACACTCTACCTAATCCCCCTCCCTGCTCAATAACCCTCACACTATCCACACCCCGCCTTTACTTTACTCTGCACATTGTAAAAACATATTGCACAAAACAACTTGCCCGTTATCTACCTTGTACATATTAATACAATGTGGTACATCTAGGCCACTCATATGAGACACTCACCTTTATAATCGTTTCCTTTTGGTCTTCCCACATATTTCGTGGTAACAACTGTTTCTTCTGTCTCATCTAGTTTCTGAACTATGAAATTTTGGTCACACTCCCCATCGACAATACCCCTCCTAAACACCTCGTAGGCAGAATCATCCTTCCTATCAAGAACGTCGAGAAGTGCTTTCACCTTTTGCTTGCCTGTTAGGCTTCTGTCGCAAACCTCATCGTATTCCTGGCGGCCTATTTTACTCTCTTGTAAAAGCAGCTCCACCACATGCTCGATGTTTAAATGTTGGATCAAAAAAGTCCGGTTTCTCCTTAAGTTATGAATAGCGGTATTCGTCGTCGTTTTCTTTGATGTATTACGAGCAGAAGCCATGTTTAATACGAAATGTTCCACACTTTAATTGTGCACGAATAAATGGTGGATATTCTTGAAAGGAAGATAATAAAGGCAGTGGAAAAACCCTGTGTATTGACATTAGTGGTTAAACTCTGCGTATTTCATGGTAACAGTGCTATAAATAGAATGCGGAATTCCCGCTTGGATCTACAGATAATTCCCATTCAGTAAGTGAGCTGATAAAATAGCACACTGAAAGATGGCGGCCAGGGGAAAGAGAAACACTGGCCCGGCTGCAAAAATGAAAACGGACGTTTTACTTAAAAACAGGACATTTTTGATCAAGAACTTGCACATCGACGAAGTGCTAGAATTACTCTATCAGGAGAGGAAAATCGCCAAAACTGAATATGAAAGTATCAACGAAAAGCGAACTCGATCAAAAAGGGTGAAAAAGTTATTAGATGTCTTGGACACGAAGGATGACACGGCCTACGACGTGTTCAGAAAGGGACTTGAAGAAGGCGACTGTGACCAGGACTTCATTATAAGAAAACTAGATGAAACTGAGCAAACGACAATCTCCACAAAATTAGTGCCCAAACCGAACAAAAACCGGTATAAATGTAGGTATTTAACTGGTGGTGTTTTTTTTTTCACGAGCGGAGTGAGTACATGTGTTGTTAGAGTAAATGTACTTAGGAATTTGTGTGGGATATAAATACTGCAACCTGATATTGTGATCGTGTATCACGGTATGTGAGTCAATTGTTTGCGACCCAGACATGTCAGTCTATATGAACATGTTTTTCATGACCCTCTCTGGTAGTTCACACTGAGTTCATAATTACCTTTTTTGTTGGAGGGATCAAAGCATTTAAAAGAGACTTTGGTCATTTCTCCCGGCCTACAGGTGGATGTAGATAAAAGCAGGGGACAGATTTTTCGACGATTTATGTAAGGGAAATTGAAACGAATAATTTAAGGACTTTTTAAATGTTAACCAAGTTTTACTTTATTCGGACACCAAAACCACATACATACGCGCGCGCGCGCACGCACAGAAGCCCTCCCTTGCTTTACGTAACTCGGAGCTGCATAGCTTTATGTGTTTTTTTGCGGGGAAGAAGATAGTAGTCGTGGGGGAGAAGAGAATGATATATCGATTAAAACACATAAGTAAGTCGTTATCACAGATATCATCCCACTCATATAACTCACAGTAGCCAGTGCGTGGCGAACAGGATGTATATACCAGTAATCTCATCGAGTTGACCCAAATTACAATACGTTAGCTATTGAAATCACTTTCACACACTCACCATTGTAACAACCCTAGCTTTATGTGATATATTTCTTATCTCATTGGGAAAATGTAGGACAAAATACGCAACTATTACAGATGAATTTGATGTATAGATTAATTGATTAGATAGTGAACAATGATATGAGGCAAGATGCTTTAATTACTCTTTTATGCTGTGAACCTGAATTTTGATACCCTATAGGTTAAAACGCAAGCGCGTGAAAAAAAAATAAAAGATGATTTTGTGGGCCTTATTAGTCGTTAGGACTTTGGATGAATAAATTGTGTAATCGTCCAAGTTCAGACAGTGAACTTTGGAAGAAGATGAAGAAATTTTGAGGGAAAGTCCTCCATTTTATCCCACTGCCGACTCATTTCTGTGGCATGGATAGGATGAGTGATAAGAAAGTCTGTGTTGATCACGAGATACTTCTTAATAAATGTAATATTTCCTATAGCTACACGTAGAAATCTGTTTGTTTTCTAAATTTTACGGTGACATTAATCATAAAACAAGTGACACATATGATATGACTTGTAAATATGTACGTGTAAGCAGTGGCTATTAAAAATTTTATAAGTACAGAAGGGAAAGAAAGTCGTTGAACAATGCACGAGTGGTTAAAGTTGTATGCGGCAAATTTAAACAGTATTTTAATGAATTAAAATTACTTGTAAGTGCATTGATTTCTCTGAATCGCTGACTTTTGCAGTTTCACGTGTAAATTCTGTCCAACACATTTGCAGGGTGATAATCCCTCATAGCAATAACAGCACTGGTATTCCATTATTCTGTACTCCCCTAGCCAGAAAAAAAAACCCAGGCCTTACCTCATTTACGTACATTGCAACAGTATGCTGATTATATGCGAACCAGATCCAGACCCTCCCCCCCCCCCCCCCCCCCCATGACCAGCTCAATCTCTAGATCAGAACCTCTTAAAGAATTTGTAGGATATCCTTATAAATTGATAGGTGAGGGATATTAAAATGATCTCATATTATATTTGCACCGTATGTGGAACCCCATCACTGTGCAAACGATACAGAAATGTTTTGCTCTACGCACAAAGGCGGCAGGTGCGTCCTCCTATACAGAGGATACTACACAAAATACTAAAGAATGGCTTTGATTTTTTAACATGGTTAGCTTATTCATTGGTTGTACAATCAGAATTTTTTGTTAAAAAATATTCTCTTAAAAGTTGAAAAAAACATTGGTACATGACATGAACTCTGTGTTACTTTACGCATTGCGTTAGGGGTGACACTTTTTTGCAAGGGGAGTATATATATATGCTTTTACGGCAAGACCGTGCCCGGTGTGAAAGGAATGCTTCCGCTAGGAACTGTAGTCCGGGGTCACATATATAATTAGTACAAGTTAGGGCTAGTCGGAGTATTGGGGGTTAGTATATATACCGGTAGCGTTTAGAGGAACACTGAACGCACTGACTATTGCTGTAGGTGAGATATGCCTGTGTTTGTTTGAACAATATCGTAATGCTGTTTTCTCTCTCTCTTCCATCCAGTGGTATTATTAGGTACTGCAGGGGTAGGCAAGACCAACTTGATGACGGTGTACACTGGAGGGAAGTTCCTAGTGGGGTCCACAGCGACAGTTGGCACGGACTTTGTATCTAAGAACGTCACTGTGGACACCGGGAACGAGTGTGAAGAGAGCCAAGTGAGTGTTCAGATATGGGACACGGCGGGCCAGGAGACTTACTGTGCCATGTCCAGAATGTAAGTCATTATCTATCAGGTGTACCGCCAAGGGAGAGGGGGGGGAGGGTCGCAAATGCCCCCCTCCTCCCATATCCTTTAGTACACACGTGCACTCCTTTTGCATTTAAAGATAATGATTATAATATGAATATGAATAAAATAGGAAGCTAGAAAAACACTCAAGTAGCGCAAAACTCTGTCAAGGAAGTCCAATTTTTATTTTTTTAAACCATTTATCAATAAGTTAATTAAGTTATCACCACCAAAATCTAGTCCATTTCTGGCCTATCCTGAAAATTTTATCAAAATCCGCCCACAACCTTTTGTATGTTCCTAACAGACACACAAATATTTGACAAATAATTAACCATAAATTAATTGTTGAGTCACCGTCATTATCTAATCAATTATAAGGTAAAACAACTGTTGGTTTTGGTAAAAAAATAATTTTCCTGTGGTAAATAACGATTTTCCCGTACTTACCAATAATTAATGAATCCATTCCGACATTCAAAATTATTCCGTGTTTTTTTTTTTTTTTTTTTTCAATAAATTGTGGCAAGCATAGATTCCAGAATAATTGTTTTGGTGGTAAAATGAAGTTTATAATTGTTTCTGTGAATTGTTTACAATGTGAAATATGAATGGCATACAAACAGTTGTTTTCTCTTTAAGTTACCACATTTCTGACCTATCCTGAAAAATTCATCAAAATCAAAAATCAACTTTTTTAGTGAGGCTGGTTGCAAACAAACAGACAAATGGAGGTGAAAACATAACCTCCCTGCCGAGGGTAGTTTGGCTGCAAGAGTACGACAAACTGCCGGTTTGAGCTTTCACGTATACGTAATTCTGCTCTGCAAGTGAAAAAGTTGCTTTAAGTAAAATTAGTTCAACGAATGTTTCCACCAACTTACAATTAACTATTTTTCTTTTAATTAACATTAACATTAGAAAAGTAAATAGATGAAGACTAATGAAAGGAACGCATTTCTATAGAATTTTCCATTCCTTCTGCATACTGATACTGGAAAAACGTGCTCTCAATAATCTCCAGCACACACAAAACAAAAACGGAAAGATGAGAGGACTTGCTGTTCGCAGTTTATGATCACACCATGGTAAAGCAAAAGGAATACGAATTGTTACCGGCAAAGATTGCATTCATTGTATAAGGTGTGACGGGGTCTTTTCGCTCTTACAAATCAAAACGTGTACTCATTTCAGGGTGTATCGGGAAGCACAGGGCGTAATCTTCGTGTACGACATATGCAACAGAGAAAGTTTCGAGAAACTGGATTTCTTCCTCTCGGAATTTAGGCAGTACAATAGCCGCTCTGATAGGGCTGTGATGATGTTGGTTGGGAACAAAAGGGACCTGATTGGGAAACAAGCCTACAAACGTGAGGTGACTCCGGAGGAGGCCCATGGATTT